AGGTAACAACCATTATTATACCTTTTCACAGATAAGCAGCTTCAGATTTAACTGCAATAAAAACCTCACTACCATTGGGTTGATAATAACTCATAGTGACCTTGTAAGACAGAGTAGGACTGTTCCTTTGGGTTTTCAAGGTCATAAATCTTGATAGGAGCGGAAATCCTCATCTTTCTCCCTTGAAATGGCTGGTATGTTCTGGCTGCTAACCTTGTGGTTAGCAACCCAAGTCATTGTCCACTCTGCCACCAGGTCTCCTAGCGTCAGACTAGAGAAAGGTACCAGTAGGCCAGAAATCACCTGGAAGGTTCAGCCATAGCCCATCTGACTCTAGGGAGGACTTTTAAGCTTGATATTTTCCGGTGGAAAATTCATATATGGAAGTGCTGACATCTGCCAGGGGGCAGGGAGCTCCCCAAGAGCAGCTTATGCACTGGTAGCTTTGAACCTCCCACCTTTCAACTTGGCTGTCAGGTTGTTGCACTGGGTAGCCTGTGATTTGCGGTGATACTGGATGTTATCTACGGAACTATTATTTCAAATGCCAGGAGGGCCGACCTACGGGCACAGGTTTCAATAGAGCTTCCAGACTACAAAGAAGGAACGGGCGGTTTCTGTCTGAGGAGGTCGCCACTGCAGACATGACAAATGGAACTAGATGCTGAAAACCTCACCAATAGAGCAGTGCCCTGTCAATGGGAGTGCCCGCCGATGCACGCTCAGGTCAGAGGCCATCCAAAATATGCCTGAAGAAGAGCCATCTTCTCAAAATAGAGTCCACCATGAGGATGTGAATCCTTGGGGGCCTACATTTGCTGATAGGAAAGACTCACAATAAAAAAAAGAAAATGAGCTGATTCCGGGAACCCAAGAGGCAAGAGAATTTTGGGAATGATGAGGGCAACAAATGTATAGGTGTGCTTTACACAATTGATCTATGTATTGTGATGAATTGTATGAGTCCCAATAAATTGATTTTTTAAAAAAAGAAGACATAGCCAGAAACATCTATTAATCATTGAAACGGGATGTACAAACTATGAATCTACTAAAACTAAAAGTTGTCAAAAATGAACTAGAATGCATTCCTATCCATCTCAAAGGAATTAGTGAGCTAAAATGGAATAATATGGGTTAATATGACTAAAGAATTCATAAGGTTTCTCTTGAAGTACACCACTTTCTGTGATAAGATAATATCTATCCCAATACAAGGAAACGTGCTCAATACAAACTATTATTCAAATTTTTGTGCTGATCTCTAAAGTTCGTAATAAAAGAAATGGAAGAAATTACCAAGATCTTTCATCTGAAATCAGGAAACCTTACTGATCTAGTGGTTACATATTGGGCTTCTATTTATTGTAAGATCAGTGATTTGAAACCACTCACCACTTCTCAGGACGAAGAGGGCATTTCTACACGCAGGAAGAGCTACCATCTTGGAAACTGACAAAGGCACTCCTCTCCTGTCCTATAGGGTGACTATGAATTTACATAGATTCATAACAGTGAACTTTTGTCTGAAATTGATGAAACTTGCAATCAAGATACATTGATACTTATTGGTGATTGGAATGCAAAAATTGGACACAAAAGCTGAAAATACATCTTTGGAAAATATAGTCTTGGTGACCGAGATGAAGCTGAAGACCACGTGATATAATTTTTCAAGATCAACAACTTATTTACCCCAAAAATCAAAAGGTACTACACACATGGACTTCTGCAGATGGAATAGCCAGAAACCACCTGGACAACATCTGTGGAAGGAGACCATGCAGAAGCCTAATATCAGCTAAAACAATGCCATGAGCCCACTAGGAAACCGGTCATCCATGGCCCTTATGTGAGCTCCAGTTGAAGCAGTTGTGGCCTTAAAAGAAGGCCACAGAAGCCAACACACACCTTTGTATATGCCATCTGGATTTTGAACACGTCGCAGGAACAGATAGGACTCACTGAACACTAATGACAGAAGGCCTGATGAGCTGTGGGAGGACATCAAGGACACCATACATGAAGAGCAAAGGGTCATTCAAAAGACAGGGAATAAAGAGTCCATCAAAGTAGAAGTCAGCGACACTCCGAAATTGCTCTGAATTGTAGAACAACTAAAGTAAATGGAAGAAATGATGACATCAAAGAACTGAACAGAAAATTTCAAAGGGCAGCACAAGGAGACAAAATGAAGTATTATAATGAAATGTGTAAAGAGCTATAGTAAGACAACCAATAGGGAAGAATGTGCTTAGCATATTTTAAACTGAAAGAACTGAAGAAAAAGTTCAAGCCTGGAGTTGAAATATTGAAAGATTCTTTGGGTAAAATATTGAACAATGGGGGAAGCATTCAAAGAAGTTAGAAAGAATTCATAGAGTCACTATAACATAAATAACTCGTCAACATTCCATTTCAAGAAGGAGTATATGAGCAAGAATTAATGGTACTGAAGAAAGATTTCCACTGCACTGTAGATATTGCCCAAAAAACAATTGATGGGGTACCAATTAAAATGTTTCAATAAATGATGAACACTCTTTAATCTGTGCCAAGAAGTTTGGAAGACACTTACTTGGCCAACTGACTGGAAGACATCCATGCTTGTGCCCATTCCAAAGAAAGGCGACCCAACAGAATGGTCAAATTATAGAACACTATCATTGATATCACATGCAAGTCAAATTTTGCCGAAGATCCTTCAACAGTGGTTACAGCAGTGCATTGACAGTGAACTGCCAGAAATTCATCCTGGATTCAAAAGAGGCTGTGGCACAAGGGATATCATTGCTGATGAGAGATGGATCTTGGCTCATAGCAGAGAAGACCAGAGAGAGGCTTAGTGTGTTTAATTGAGTATGCAAAGAATTTGACTTTGTGAATCATGACAGATTATGGATAGCCTTGAGAGGATTCAGAATTTGAAAATACTTACGCTCCTGAAGAATGTATACATGCTTCAAGAGGTCGTTTTGCAAACAAAACAAGAGAACACTGCATGGTTTAATAGAGAGAGAGTTAAGCTTTAGGGTTGTGTACTCTCACCAGGCTTATTCAATGGTGAGCAAATATCCAGAAAAAGTTGAGTCCAGTTATGCAGAAGAGTGCTGCATCAGGATTAGAGGAAGGCTTAATATCAACCTCCAATTGGTAATTGGCATGGCTTGCTTGCTGAAAGTGAGAGGGCTGGCAAGAAGCACTTACTGATGAAGATCAAGGATTACACTGTTCCATATGGATTACAAATGATGTAAAGAAAACAAATCCTCACAAATGGAGAAAAGATGGAAGTACTCAAGGATTTCTTCTTGTTTAGATCCACAATCAACACTCGTGGAAGCAGCAGTCAAGAGATCAAAGGACACACTGCATTAGGTAACACTGCTGCACAAGACCACTTTAAAGGGTTGAAAACAAGAATGTGGCATTAAGGACTAAGATGTGCCTGATGCAAGCCTTAGTATTTTCAATTGCTTCATATGCTTGGGAATGTAGGGCATTGAATAAGGAAGCTCAAAACAGAATGGGGGCATTTGAATTATGGTGCTGGTGAAGAATATTGAAAGTACCATGGACTGTCAAAAGAAGTAACAAATCTGTCTTAGAAAAAATAAAGCCAGAATGCACCATGGAGGCATGGATAGAAAGACTTTCTCCACATACTTTCAACACGTTATCAAGAGAGACAAGTCCCTGGCAAAGGGTATCATGTTTGGAGAGGGGCAACAAAAAAGAAAAAGATACTGGACAAGGTGAATTGACACTGTGACTTTAAAAATGGATTAAAAATAGCAACAGTTAGCTCTGACCAGGACCGGGCAGTGTTTCCTTCTGAGGTACACATGGCCACTAGATGTTGGAACTAACTCTGGCACCTGACATCAACAATAACATCCAACCACAAAAACCACACGGAGAGATGCTAAATTATAACACCATAAACTAACAACTTGGTGTTTTCTTTTAGATTTACCCAAAATGAAAAAGCACCTTGTTTATTTGAGACAGGCTAGGAGAAGATCAAGGCGTCACAAAATATCCTTTGCAAAACTATATTAACCAGTTTTTCCTACTGAGTGTCTAATATGAATTTTCCACGTTTCTATATTCATCTATATAAGTATATGTCCATGCAGCAGATTAAAATTACTACAGAACCACAGAAAACTGTTTTACAATGTATTAACATGTTAAAAGTATTGAAATGTTAAACTATTGGTTTTTGATATAGCCCCAATTTTGTCTATTCGTAGTTTCTATTTCTTTAACCTTACCTAAGGAATTATGCTTCCTTTGTTATATCATTTCAAAATGACAGTTTTGATATCCGTCTGAAACTCAAATAAATTTCCTGTAAATATTCTTTGAGTTTGGAAACGAAAAGAAGTCTAAAGAGGCAGATCAGTGTTGTAGGGTGCATAGGGCCAGGTTATCTCAATGAAATTCTCGTAAGATAGCCCTAGATCTTCTTGAAGAATGAGCATGCTCATTGTCTTGATGGGGAAAAAAAAATCCGCAGTGAAAATGTTCTTGCCCTTCTCTCTTGAATGCATTTAAAATTTTCTTCTTAAAATACCCCTGTGATTATCCCTAGATATCTCCCCAAACATTTGCCAGAACCTTTGGAGACGGTGCCTGCTTTAGAATTAACTGGCCCCACAATTCTCCTTAGAAATCCCTGATTTCATTAGACCTTTTTGGTAAGCAACCTGATGTGACCAAGATACGGGTATGAAGGAAGGAACTTCTCTGTCATCCGCTCTGCATTGCAAACACATGTCTTCCTTTGGAATGAGTCCATGCCTGTATGGACTGGGACCCGATAACCATTGTTCTGACTGTCCCTCACTGATAATAGGAGAGAATGCTTATTCAGAATGTTGTCATACAAATCAAGATTTTCTTTTAGATTGATACATCCTCCGCCACGTGAATCTCAATGTTATTAAACTTTTTAAGATAATTCTCTCTCTCTCTCTCTCTTTTTTTCTTTTCAGGTAACCTTCAAAGCATCAAGATATTCAGTGTCACCAGATTTAAAATATGTTCTTCTGGCATATGATGTCAAACAGGTAAGGGAGTGACCTTCTTCGGGAACACTTTCTCTATGATGCATTCGGGCATCATTTCATAATTTTTCTTGGCGGTTCATTCTTCTAAGGGGGGTTTGGCATATCCAATAGTTTTATAGTGGCACTGATCGCCAAGATGACATGAGACAGTCTAGTAATGGTGCTTTTTCTGGCTAGCAAGCAACTTAAACAATCTGCCTTGAGTTTGTGCTGATCCAAATTTATTTCTTTTCAGAGTGTTGCTAGGATTAACTCCCTCAACAAATAGAGGCTTTTGAAATTTTCAAGATGTTGTGGTGTGCACATGAGTTTACCTTGTATGTATACATCAGAGATGTCCCCGCTAGTTGTGCCCAGAACCATGGTGTGTTTAGTGGTGAGAGACTGAGCACTGTGGAAAATGCTCATCAGATTGTGGTCAGTGGATTCTTTAGTGGTATTTAAGCATCAGCCTTGCGGTTATAAAACATGCCACAAGTGATTCTGTATTAATAAAACATCTTAATTGCAATTAGTGCTTTATGATTTCATGTCCGTTCGATCTAAAGCACAATTAGGCAATAAGTGTGGTTGTTGAGTAGTTTCTATTTACATATAATTTTTGCTGTTCAGGAGCAAATTAAATGTCAGAAAATCAATGCAGCAGTTTAGTTTTTGTAAAGGATAAACAATTCAAGAAAGTTTTATGAGCTTTAAACAGGACAATAAAAATTTATGGACTTTAGACAGGACACCTCACTGAAAGCCAGGGAATTTCACAGTTCAAAAGACCTGGAATTTGATGGCGTCAGTGTCTTTTGCAGTGCCCATGTGCTCTGCATTTTGAATTGTTTATATTTTGATGGTTTAAAAGAAATATTTTATGCTGTAAAAAGCCATGGATATTAGTGTGAAGGGAATCTGTTCTGATTTTAAACCATGGCTTTTTCCTCTTTATATTTTTATTATTAATTGTTACTCTGTGTCATTGGTATTCATTGAGATTTAGGACATCACATGTAAATTTAAGAGAAATAATTTTAAGAAAAATTAAGTAAAATTAAGAGAAATAAATTTCAGAAAAATACCACAAAAAATGGCATTAAAAGTGTGCTGAAAACTCAGCTTGTACACAAGTACATACAGTAATATTCTTTGTCTAAAGATTTTAAAAGTGAAAAACTGCTATATTAAAGTGATGATGACATTTTTAAAGTAAGTTTCTGTAAGTACTGTAATGAAGAATGTGTGGTTTGGGCAGAAGTACAAACACAGAGATTACTGAACAGAACAGAGAACCGCGAACACATGCACATGAATGCGCCCAACTTCTATTGTGGTTTGACACAGGGGCAAAAGCAATGGGAGGTATCGAATGTAGTCTTTTGAACAAATGGAGGTGAAGCAAAGTTGTTTGTTTTTTTAAAGAACCTTGACCTAATAACTTTTAAGAATTCAAAATGAATGTGGGCTTCAATATGAAATTGGAAATCGTTGGGAGTTAAGAAAAAATTAAAAATAGAGAAAAAACATTTATTTGCATTTCATCAATATTATAAATATTTGCCCTGAAAAATGCCACATTATGAGCATGAAAAGTCATGCTATAAACTAGGAGAAAACATTTGTAATTTATATAGCTGCCTAAGGACTACTAGTATCTAGAATACAGAAAGAACTTCTGAAACATCACCATTGAAAAGAAAAGGAAAATAATCCGGTCATGAAATGGGCAAAAAGAGATACTTTACTGAATATAAAAATAGCAAATACATAAGCACCTGAATACAGTTAAGATAATTAGTCAGGCGCACACAGTTAAAACCACAATGCAATGCACGGTAGAATAAAAAAAAACCCATGATGCAACACATATTAGCATGGATAAAACAAAAAACAATTCATTAAAAAATCAATGGTGACAGATGCTGGGGAACCGGCAGAGAAACTTGATCACTAATCTATGGCTGATGAGAATGTAGACTAATACAGACACTCTAGAAAATATTTTACCCGTTTCTTCAAAAACAAACCCACAACTACCATCTGACTCAGTAATTAGACTCCTGGGCATTTCTCCCAGAGACACGAAAATTTCTGTTTACAAAAAAACCTGAATGCAAATATTTATAGCAGCTTGATTTGTAATAGCCCCAAACTGGAAACAACTCAGATACCCTTCAGTGGCGAGCCGTTACACACACTCCTATGCAGCCACACTTCTCAGAAACGAGAAAGGCATATGCTTTTGACAAATGAAAGTGGGCTAATCTTCTAAGAATTATGCTAAATGATTAAAGTGTTCCTGATGAGTTACATATTGCATGATCCCATGTAAGATTACATTGTTGAGATGACAAACTTATGGGAAAAAATAAGATTAGTAGCTGTTGAAGTTTAGGAAAGGAGGTGAATGTGGCTCTATTTTATCAGGTACTATGAGACAGAGTTTTGGTGACTGGAATGTTCTATATCTTGACTATGTAAATATTACTATCCCACTCGTTATATTGTACTTTAATTCTGCAATTTCTTATCATTAAAGGAGCCCCAGTAAAAAGTCCATAGGGCCTCCTGGTATTGTTTCTTGTGACTATATGCAAGTTAAGTTATCTCAAAAGAAAAAGTTTAATTTAGAAAATTAACTGAAGGACATTTCCTTAACTAAGACTGAAAAAAATTCAGTGGATCCACCTTCATGCATGTGGAATTCACCTACTGTATAGATTATATTTAATCTTTGAGATCTTCTGCCTCAAATAAGATTTCAGATAGCTAGATGACAGTTTAGTACAATTTCCATATTTATAGGACTTTACGCAGATTCACTATAAATTTTCAAAGATTTGTGGATGGAAAGATTTAAATACTTATAAAAGAGGATCGGTGTTGAACAAACTAGTGTGGTGCTTATGGATTGGGCTGATGGTCACAAGGTCAGCGTGTTGACGTTACCAGAGCCTCCATGGAGAAAGATGAGGCTTGTTAGGCCCCCACAGAGTTGCAGCCTCAGAAACCCAGCGTCAATTCTACTCTGTCCCAAAGAGTCTCTATGCACAAGACTCAATGGCCATGAGCATTTTTGAGTGTTAAAGACTCCTGCATCCTTGTCCACAGGAGACAATTTCTCTCTAGAACAGTGGTTCTCAACCTTCCTCATGCCACGACCCTTTCATACAGTTCTTCACGTGGTGGTGACTCCCCCAACCATAAAATGATTTTCATTGCTACTTCATCACTGGCGTTTTGCTACCGTTATGAATCTGGCGTCCCCCGTGAAAGGGTTGTTTGACCCTCAAAGGGGTCGCGCCCCACACATTGAGAACTGCTGCTCTAGAAGAACAATGCTTCACAATAGTTTTAAGATAAGTTGTTTAACTACCTGTGAGAAATAAAACCATCTTCTGATAGACTAGTTTATCCCGCATGGAAAGTGCACATCCTCCAACCACAGATTGAAGTTTCATTTTCATTTGATTTTTAACTTATAATATGTGAAGTGTTTGTTGCTGAAGGAAGCATGTGAAATATAAAGTTGAGTGAATGGCTTGGAAGGGCTGGCGCCATAGTGGATCTCCTCTGGTTTGCCTGCCATGAGGCAAATGTCAGGCATGCTTTCACATCTCTCGACCCTATTCTAACATCAATCATGCTTTTCCTAGCTCTCTACTTCAAGGCTGCGGTCTAGAATTTGTTGCCATGGCCACACAGAACTCACAGACAAATCCCAAGGGTCCATTAGTGGTTCTAACAGGTTCGCACATGCCAGGATGAGTCAACAGTAAGTACACAGGCATTGGCTCACAGCAGTGTCTCTACTTAAGCAGCAACTACGTCTTTCTCTAATCCTCAGTCTCTCCGTTCCATGGTCTCTTGGCCTCTGGCCCTGTGGGCCAGGTCTGCCCCTCTGCCTCACAGTCCCATAGGCTTGCTGCTGCTCTTCTGCTCTGTCTCCTGGTTTCCTTGCATCAGCCTTTGGTCTCAACCTGGCTCTGTCCCATGATCTTCTTGCCACAGCCGTTGGTGTCTCCACCACTTCAAACTGAGATCTAAATTCTTCTTCAAATGGTCCTGAGTTCTCTCTCTGTGTTCCAGCTTCTGAGATGACTTGCTTATACAGAGGAATGGCTTTGATGGAGCTGTGGTTTTAGTCTTTCAGCTGGTTCACACCCTCTACGAAGATGGAGACAATTCCACCAAATGCCTCCAAAATGCTATTATAGCCACAGGCATAGAATGATAATAGTTCACAAAAAGAATTATGCCATTCTCAGTATGTATCCACTCCTCCTGGGCTTCATAGCTTGGAAACCCAACAGAAAACAATAAATGACAAAATTGCACTGAGGTGCTAAGGCTAAAATAAGATACAAGGGGCTATAGGGAATGCAGGGGTGGGGAGCGGGTGGTAGGGAGGGAAAGGGGATTTGGGGAATTAATAATGAAGGAGGTAGGGGGAGGGAGCACTAGAACTGATTGTGATTGCACAACTCATTTTAAAAGAGATTGAACAGAGGTGGGGTGTGGGGGATTTTCTACAATGCCCCTTGATATGACTGAACGATTGAACTATTGAATTGAATGATATGTAAATTATGTACCAATAAAGCTGCTGGGGGATAAAAAAGAATTATGCTAGAATTCTGTTAGTCAACTATGTCATTAACAGCCATTAGGTTAATTCTGACTCATAGCAACTCTATATATAATCGAGCACAATATATCAAGAAGCTGTGTGAACATAAATAACAAATACACTTATCTAATGAATTGTAATATGCATATTAATAAAATATGTTTTTTCTCATTCATTCATTCAGTTTATCATTCACTAAGGTGAAACTACTGGTTCAGCATTTCATAAGGTGTGTGTGTGTGTGTTATGCGTACATAAGATTAATCATCCTCTTCAAGAAACATAAAGTTAAATAAAAGTAATATAACCAAATCAATTACATCCACCACAGAGCATTGAAGGATATGAGTGGTAATATTAGAAAACATTTCTAATCAAGATAAAC